AGAGAACCTTGAGGAAGAAACAATTTTGCAGACAGAGAAATAAAGCATCTGACCCTCAACTCCAGCAAATTTGTCTGATCTGCTTGCAGAGCCTCAATTTCATTGAAGCGAGGGGCGGCAGGGCAGGGTCAGCGGAGGGGGGGGGGGGGCGGGTCTCTATATGCAGCTTGCCATGTCTTTAAAAATAAAATGTAGACATAAGTTCTTTTTTTTTTTTTTTTACATGTATTCCCCATCCCGGTCCCCCCCCCACCTCCCTCTCCACCCAATCCCTCTGGGTCTTCCCAGTGCACCAGGCCCGAGCACTTGTCTCATGCACCCAACCTGGGCTGGTGAACTGTTTCACCTTAGATAATATACGTGTTTCAATGCTGTTCTCTTGAAACATCCCACCCTCACCTTCTCCCAGAGTCCACAAGTCTGTTCTATACATAGGAGTCTCTTTTTCTGTTTTGCACATAGGGTTATCGTTACCATCTTTCTAAATTCCATATATATGTGTTAGTATACTGTAATGGTCTTTATCTTTCTGGCTTACTTCGCTCTGTATAATGGGCTCCAGTTTCATCCATCTCATTAGAACTGATTCAAATGAATTCTTTTTAATGGCTGAGTAATATTCCATGGTGTATATGTACCACAGCTTCCTCATCCATTCGTCTGCTGATGGGCATCTAGGTTGCTTCCATGTCCTGGCTATTATAAACAGTGCTGCGATGAACATTGGGGTACACGTGTCTCTTTCAGATCTGGTTTCCTCGGTGTGTATGCCCAGAAGTGGGATTGCTGGGTCATATGGCAGTTCTATTTCCAGCTTTTTAAGAAATCTCCACACTGTTTTCCATAGTGGCTGTACTAATTTGCATTCCCACCAACAGTGTAAGAGGGTTCCCTTTTCTCCACACCCTCTCCAGCATTTATTGCTTGTAGACTTTTGGATAGCAGCCATCCTGACTGGTGTGTAATGGTACCTCATTGTGGTTTTGATTTGCATTTCTCTGATAATGAGTGATGTTGAGCATCTTTTCATGTGTTTGTTAGCCATCTGTATGTCTTCCTTGGAGAAATGTCTGTTCAGTTCTTTGGCCCATTTTTTGATTGGGTCATTTATTTTTCTGGAGTTGAGCTGGAGGAGTTGCTTGTATATTTTTGAGATTAATCCTTTGTCTGTTGCTTCGTTTGCTATTATTTTCTCCCAATCTGAGGGCTGTCTTTTCACCTTGCTTATAGTTTCCTTTGTTGTGCAAAAGCTTTTAAGTTTCATTAGGTCCCATTTGTTTATTTTTGCTTTTATTTCTAAAATTCTGGGATGTGGGTCATAGAGGATCCTGCTGTGATTTATGTCGGAGAGTGTTTTGCCTATGTTCTCCTCTAGGAGTTTTATAGTTTCTGGTCTTACATTTAGATCTTTAATCCATCTTGAGTTTATTTTTGTGTATGGTGTTAGAAAGTGTTCTAGTTTCATTCTTTTACAGGTGGTTGACCAGTTTTCCCAGCACCACTTGTTAAAGAGGTTGTCTTTTTTCCATTGTATATCCTTGCCTCCTTTGTCAAAGATAAGGTGACCATAGGACATAAGTTCTTTAAATAAAAGACAGTATAGCCATAGCATTAAGTGCACCAAACATTCAGTGATGTAAAGACACAACAGAAGCAACACAGTGTAATGGAAGTGATCATGTCTTGTGCATGCTCAGAATCCTCTCTAAGCTCCCCATGATACTCAGGACTTGGCCCTCGGTCCTACACGATGTGGCCCCCAGCTCCATCTCCATCTTCATTTCTTGTCACGTTTCCCCTTCAATTTCTACTTTCCTTCATTTTCTTTTCTCTCGCTAAATGTTTTGGCCCTTGGTTTGTTTTCTGTCTTTCCCACCAGATGATTAACTTCTTGATGCAGAGGTTTTTGTTTTTGTTGCTATATTCCAGTGTCAGGCCTATGATAGGTGTTTAAAAAGTATTTCTGAATGAAACAACAAACAATGAAAGCAACCAAATACTATATATGTGCTGACTTGAAACTCAGTGTCTTTTAGTAGGTGACCTCAGGGATCTCTTGGTGCCTTAGTTCTCTCATCTCAAGATGAGAAGGAGTTTAAAGAAGATTTTAAGTCTTTTTATTTGCAAAACATTAATTTTCAAAAATAATGAAACTTAGTTTTCTAGTGTGTGTCTAGTATCAGTGAACAGTATTTTTAAAGGTCCTGGTGTGTGTGTGTCTTATGGCCAAATTTCTTCTGTTTTCATTTTGAAATTTGTCTTGAAACAGTTGACATGTGTATATATCCATTTGTCTATGTCTTTGTATTGTTGAAGTATGTTTCATTTTCTGCCACTGGAAATTAAGAAGATAGAAGCCCAGTTTTATAATTTTTGCCACCTATATTTTATGATATTTATGTAGTGACAGGAACTAGTTGGAGTAATGTGGGCTTCAAAGCGAGATTGAAATGAACTGAAAAAATTGAAACTAGATTAAACAGCCCCTATTGAAGTTGTTGGGAAAATCCATGCCCTTTAAGTGTTTTATGATTTTCAGTTTGACTGGTACATTGTTTCTTATGATTAACTCGGCTTAGAGGTGCTGCTTTAAAGAATACAAAACCTACACTGGCATGTAAAACCCAGTGATTTAAAAAAACATGCTAATATTAGATGAATAGATAAAATATAATGAAGGGTTTTGCTTTTCATAAGCTTATAGCTCTATATATTATATTCTAAGTTTGATCCAAAAGCTGGAAATTTTTTTTGAGGGCTAAAGGTCAAAATGATTTTATTATATGTTTGGTCCTCTCCCAGGGCATGTTTAGAAGTTTCGGGACAGTTTGAACTATCCAAATATTCCCTTTCTTTTTTGTCATGTACATTCTTGCAGTTGTCTTATATTTATGCTTTCTAATGCTGTTTCAAATTAACTAACTCTCTTCCTATAATTTAACCAATCAAATAAAGTGATAATGAGAATGTACAAATCAAAATTTTAATTTATAGATAGAGTGGTATTTAGAAAGAATTGACATGAACTTGGCCTCTAACACTTCTGGAATCTACAGAGTCCCAATAAAACTGTACATTCTGCATCGATGTTTATGATAACATTGTATATTAGCTTTAGTGGTGAGCACCTTGAATAAATGTCACTTTGGCATAAACCAAGAATTGGTTAATATCTTTATTCTTCAGGCCGAGGTGTTCAGAGAGACAAACGAGATTACATGAGAAGACCAAACGTGTCATGTGCTTTCTCCTTCCTTATGTCAGCGTGCCCACTGTACCATCGGCTGTACCCAGTGGTTAGTCTCTGACTGTGTGAATATTGTCTTCTTCCTGCCACCCCCAGGGGAGCACAGTGGCTCTGGCACCTGTGATTGGGGCTTCATGTGTGTAGCGGTGAAAAGAACAGAGTTTGAGTTTGTATTTGACATTTAAACTCCGCATCTCTAAGTATCACCCTTGTATCTGTGCATCCTGATGTTTTAACTGTAAGCATTCTCTACTGACTTTTTCTATAGAAGAAAAAGATTGAGTTTTCTTTCACCTCAACCCATTCATGAGCCCGTCTTATCTCCTTATACTATTGGTTACATCAGAGTCAGTGTTGACTTGACTGGCAATTCTCTGCACAGCTGAGCATGGAGTATCTATACTTTTATTTCCTTGTACAACTTTCTGTTTTTTCCTGCGGCTAGTAATAGTGTTAATTTCAATTTCCTACTGCTTGATTAAACATGAAAAACACCAATCAGATTCCATTTTACTGTATTAATCTTTTAAATCTCCACTTTAGATAATAAATACTTCTACACTGCTATATTTAAAATGGATAACCAACAAGGACCTACTGTACAGCGCATGGAACTCTGCTCAGTGTTATGTGGCAGCCTGGAGGGGAAGGGGATTGGGGGAGAATGGATCCATGTACATGTATGGCTGAGTCCCTTCACTGTTCATCTGAGATTATCACAACGTTGTGAATCGACTAGACCCCAGTACAAAACAAAAAGTTTTAAAGAAAGATGTGAGGTAAGTCTCACATGCTCAATTCCTATAGAAATGTGGGACTAGAAGATCCTCCCGATGTGCTTCAGTGTGGATGTGCTGGCCTCAGGGCCAGTCTGGCTAACAACTGGCATCTCCCTTCTCTTCTGAGCTGAAACCTCAGTTTCCTGGGTCCTGTGCCTTTTTCTTTGTTAGTTTACTCTCTTCTTTTGGTGGGGCACATATTCCAGTTGCTTCATAAGAAAAGAGAAGTAGCAGATGCAAATTTTGAGAACTTACATTCGAAAAAGCCTATTTTTGCGTCATAGTTGATTGATGATTTGGCTAAATATTAAGCTCTGGGTTAGAAATCATTTTCCTTAAGAATTTTTAAGGCAGTGCTCCAATTCCATTCAGCTTCTAGTATTGCTCTTAAATATCCCAAACCCTCTCTGTCTTTTAATTTTTGTATGTACTATTTTTTTTTTCTTTTCTTCATATTGGAAGCCTATAGGGTTTGCTTTGGGGTCTTATGTCTAGCATTGTGAAATGCTATGATTATATGTCTTGGTGTGGGCCTATTTTCCTTTTTCTTGTTGGGCACTTAATGTACTCTTTAGTCTAAAAACTGAGTTATTTCTGCCTTCCTTTCTTCCTAGGAGTTCTTCCTGTCTTCTTGGGAAGTGCAATTCTGGGAAGCTATGCTGAATGATCTCTAAACTGCCCGCCTTCACTTGTCTCTGGATGAGACAGTCTTTAAGATGATGCTATAGATTTTAGAAGCAGAGGGATCACAAGAGAACATCAACACCAAGCCTCTAGGAGTTGAAGAGCTGCTAAGGATTATTGTTACCAAGTAACGGATAAGGACAACTGGTATCTAGAGCTTTTAAGAGACTTGTTCATAGTCACTCTGCTAGTTAGTCTTAAAAGTATAACTAGCTTTTGGTGCTGCCCTGAGAGGGGTCCATACGGCATTGTTCTGGATTCCCATCGTAACTTAAAGGGAAGCTTCCACAATGTCCGGAGCCCTTGATGTCCTGCAAATGAAGGAGGAGGATGTCCTCAAATTCCTTGCAGCAGGAACCCACTTAGGTGGCACCAACCTTGACTTCCAAATGGAACAGTACATCTACAAAAGGAAAAGTGATGGCATCTACGTCATAAATCTGAAGAGAACCTGGGAGAAGCTTCTGTTGGCAGCACGGGCCATTGTTGTCATTGAAAACCCAGCTGATGTCAGTGTCGTATCCTCCAGGAACACTGGCCGGCGAGCTATGCTGAAGTTTGCGGCTGCCACTGGAGCCACTCCTATCGCTGGCCGCTTCACTCCGGGAACCTTCACTAACCAGAGCCAGGCCGCCTTCAGGGAGCCAAGGCTTCTGGTGGTTACCGATCCCAGGGCTGACCACCAGCCCCTCACAGAAGCCTCTTACGTTAACCTGAACCATTGCTCTGTGTAACACAGACTCTCCTCTGCGCTACGTGGACATCGCCATCCCATGCAACAACAAGGGAGCGCACTCAGTAGGTCTGATGTGGTGGATGCTCGCCCGGAAAGTTCTGCGCATGCGTGGCACCATCTCTCGAGAACACCCGTGGCAGGTCATGCCGGATCTCTACTTCTAGAGATCCTGAAGAGATTGGGAAAGAAGAGCAGGCAGCAGCTGAGAAGGCTGTGACCAAGGAGGAGTTTCAGGGAGAATGGACTGCTCCAGCTCCAGAGCTCACTGCCACTCAGCCCGAGGTGGCATACTGGTCCGAGGGCGTGCAGGTCCCTTCCCTGCCGATTCAGCAGCTCCCCACGGAAGACTGGAGTGCTCAGCCTTCCACTGAAGACTGGTCTGCAGCGCCCACCGCTCAGGCCACTGAATGGGTAGGAACCACCACTGAGTGGTCGTAAGCTGTTCTTCAACAGACTTCCATCAAAATGGAAAATAAACTGTTTCTAAAAAAAAACAAAAAGTATAACTAAATCCCAGTTCTCTGACCTATAGGCTTTCTACTACATAAGAGGCCCAAAGTAAAGAGTAAAATGACTCTCTTAAAGAGTTTATTAATTATTCAACCATAAAAAGGAACAAAATTGGGTCATTTGTATGGGCATGGATGGATGGAGAGACCGTCACACAGAGTGAAGTAAGTCAGAAAGAGAAAAACAAATATCATATATTAATGCATATATGTGGAATCTGGAAAAATTGGTATAGATGATCTTATATAAAAAGCAGAAATAGAGACACAGACGTAGAAAACAAACATATAGACACCAAGGGGGAGGGAGTGGATAGGATGAACTGGGAGACTGGGATAGACATATATACACTAAACTCTGTATAAAATAGATAAGTAACGAGGACCTAGCACGCAGGGGACTCTACTCAGGGCTCTGTGGGACCTACATGGGGAGGAATTCCAGAAACGAGGGATGAATGTGTAAGGTAGCTGCTTCACTTTGTTCTCCAGTAGAAGTTAAGACAACACTGTAAAGCAACTACACTCTGATAAAAAGTTTTTTAAAAAGAGGAAGACAATACCTCCATGTTTAAGAATATAAAATCTGTATACTTGAGCAAACTCTCCAAATGTTGGTTTGAGTCAGAATTCTTGCTTCTGATAAAGCTCTCATTAATAAAAAAAAAGGGGGGGGGGTTTGTTAAGTTCATTCTTGGCATTTCTTGAAAGATGCTAAAGATTTTTTGGCAAAATAATGATTACCTTTTAGTCCCATTGGCATCCAACCATCCAGCTGTTTCTATTGTAATGCTCCCAGCCCATGTGACCTCGTATTTATGAAATAAGAAGGCATTTGTTTACTTCATGTTCATTGTTCAGTTTAATTTAAAGGCTTACTTTGTGTAACTTTGGCATTCTTCAGAATTTCTAGCACATGTCATACACATACTATTTAAGTTCTTATTTTAGTTAATTACTTTCTTCCTGTTGCTTCTTAAATATTTATTCATTGAAAAACTGAGGGCTTATTCCCTATACTCAAGGACTCCAATATATAACAAAATGGTTTTTAGGAAAGAAAGGAATAAGTGAATTTTACCCCAATCATCCCTATGTAGCATTTAAAAAAACAATTTGAATCCCCTCGCGTGTGAATTGTGAGGTCATTTCTAATTATTTTTCTCTTGGAAGCTAAGTTAATTTTAAAGATTTGTATGAATTGCACACCTTGGGAGGATTGGCTTTTTACGCTGAAATATTTGTCATATACATTTTGAGCTTTTCATTTGTTTGAATTTTGATATTTACCTTTCAATTCACTTAACCCAAAAAAGTTTAATCCTTTGCTATTTTCCACTTGGAAACTTTTTCTTCAACCAGCGATTTTAAAAATAATTTCCCCACCCAATGATTTTCAACATAATCATTTGGTACTTTTTTATTCTTTTATTTGTGTGTGTGGTGTGAGCAAAACATCTCATCAAGTGATTTTTCCCCTAGTAATATCCCAGAATTGTTGTATAATATTTTCATTGCCTGTTGGTTTGCCTTTATTATAGATTATATTTTCATTTATTCTCAGATTTAGTTCTGGATAATTTGTTTTATTTTATTGATCAAGATATTTTAAAATTAGTATCACACTGATTGAATTGTTGCAATTTCATATAGGTTTTAAAGAAAATAATATGGCTATCTTTATTACTGCAAAAATTTTTGTAAGGTAAATTGGCACACAGTTATTATAGCAACTGAACTGGATAACAGTGACTCCCAATCCCAGAGTCAAATCCCCTGAGGAGGGCATATCAGACTTGAACTACACCCATCTGCCTTTGCAGACATTAAACTGTGCCCATTTGGGAATCACCCTACATAAGAAAAAACATTGCTGTGGGTTTTCTCTAAATTTCTGTGAGTTGTATGGAGGCAAGAAAGAGAGGCTGCAAAGATTTTATTTTTTAAGTTGAATGCTAAGTTAAATTCTATTCATATTTTGTTTAAAATGGAATTATTTTTATCCATTATTTTGAGGGAAAAATGTGAATTTTTTCAATATTCAGCCTACTTACATAGAAACACAGTTTTCTTTCTAGTTATGTATTTTCTTTTTTTTCCCTCTCATTTTGTAGCTTTAATTCATTGGGACCCCACACATTGGGGTCCCACACATTTCTTGCTGAGAGATGATACTTAATTTAGTATAATTTATGTATGTGGACTGTTTTTTAATATCATGTCTATCTGAATCTTTTAATGTTAATGATTTTATATATTTATTTAAATTTTTATTTTATATATTTATTTTGTTTATTATTTAATTTATTTTGAATATATTTATTTATATTTATTTATCATGGTACCAAACTGCTTTTTCTAGATCCTTAATCCATAACAAAACCTGGGGGACAGATGTATTTTGAAAAAATACTTTATGGTGGCATTCTTTGTTTGTTGTTTTGTTTCTATTTATTTATGTATTAGGCTGTGCCATGTGGCTTGTGTGATCTTAGTTCCCCGACCAGGGACTGAACTCATGTCCCCTGCATTTGGAGCATGGCTTAACCACTGGACCACCAAGAAAGTCCCCAAACAGATGTGTTTTGAAACTCTGAAGTTTAGATTTTTGGAAGGGTAATCGTGTACCTACAGCACATGTTGTTTAATATCCACAGCAGGGTTGAAGGCAACAGCCCATAATCAGTGTGCTGATAAACTGATATTCTTACTTAGAAAGGATAAACAAAGACTATAAACATCCTGACATTCACTGAATTCAGAAAAAGAGTGAGGGCATCAAACTTATGCAAAGAAGTCTGACTTCAGAGCTGCCTGGATTTCTGAAATATACATGTTAGTGACCAGTAATTGTAATATTTCCTGGTTCACCCTCATATTATTCAGGAAAAGAGTCACATTTCTCCTTTTCAATTAATATTAAAATATGCCTCTTTCATTTCTTACTGTATTTTATGAAACTTCCAAAACAATGTTTAAAGCAACAGTGGTGACACTGTGCTATGCTGATCTTTAAAGTTGACTTTGTCATGCTAAAACCGTGTCCTCTCCAAGTCCTTAAAAAATTAACATTGAATGTGAAACTTTGTTGTCTTTTCTGGCTTCCCTGGTAGCTCAGCTGGTAAAGAATCCACCTGCAAAGCCAGAGACCCCAGTTCAATTCCTGGGTTGTCTTTTCCCCTTTATATTAGTTGCTGGTTGCTGCTGTGCTAGGTTACCACAAATTTGGTGGCTTGAGACAATTTATCTTCTAATTGTCTAGAGGTCTGAGTCTCAAATCAGTCTCACTAAGCCAGAGTCAAGGGGTTGTCAGGGCTTGCTTCTTCTAGAGGCTTCAGGGAGCATCCTTCTCTTTGTCTTTCCAGCTTCTGGAGGCTGCATTCCTCATTTTGTGGCCCTTTCTTCCTCTTCAAAAGACCTCACTCCAGTATCTGCCTCCACTGTTAAATGACCTATGTCTGTGTCCACCACCTCCTCCTCATAAGGGCCTTGGGTTTACATTGGGCCCACCTGAATTATTCAGGGTAATCTTCTCATCTCAAGATTCTGAACTTAACCACACCTGCAAAGTTGCTTTTACCATATAAAGTACATGCTCATAGTTTTTGAGGGGTCATTATTCAGCCTACCATTCCCTTCTGTTAAGATTAACCATATATACTTTCTTATTTGAGTATTGATGTCATCTGGCAGGTTATGTTGACCATTTCTTTCTAATATTGACCCATCTTTGCACTCTTAAGATGTACCCTATTTGGTTATAGTAGGTTAATCTTTTTATATACAATCTTAATGCTTTTTTTCATGCTATTGCTTCAGTTCAGTTCAGTCACTCATTCGTGTCTGACTTTTACCCCATGGACTGCAGCACGCCAGGCTTCCCCGTCCATCACCAGCTCCCTGAACTTGCTCAAACTCTTGTCCATCGAATCGTGATGCCATCCAATCATCTCATCCTCTGTCGTCCCTTCTCCTCCTGCCTTCAATCTTTCCCAGCATCAGCGTCTTTTCAAATGAGTCAGTTCTTCACATTAGGTGGCCAAAGTATTGGAGCTTCAGCTTCACCATCAGTCCTTCCAATGAATGCTCAGGAGTGATTTCCTTTAGGATGGACTGGTTTGATCTCCTTGCAGTCAAAGGGACTCTCAAGAGTGATGTTCAAAAGCATGAATTCTTTGGCACTCAGCTTTCTTTATAGTCCAACTCTCACATCCATACATGACCACTGGAAAAACCATAGCTTTGACTAGATGGACTTTTGTTGGCAAAGTAATGTCTCTGCTTTTTAATATGCTCTCTAAGTTTATCATTACTTTTCTTCCAAGGAGTAAGCCTCTTTTAATTTCATGGCTTTAGTCACCATCTGCAGTGATTTTGGAGCCCAAGAATATAAAGTCTGTCACGGTTTCCGTTGTTTCGCCATCTACTTGCCATGAAGTGATGGTACTGGATGTCATGATATGCGTTTGAATGTTGTTGTTGTTGTTTT